GTTCGTTTAGGCGTACCACCACACGCTTCATGGCCCCATCGGGAGTTTCACCGCATGCCCAAATACCAGCGCTCGCACGGCACCACCGCGACCATTTCGGCACACCCCTCACAAGGATCGTTGCCCGGTAAGGGAACTCTACCGAAGAACCCCGTGGCTGCGTTCGCATGGCACCACCGCGCCCATGTCGGCACACCCCTCGCAAGCTCCGTGGTTCCACAAGAAGCCCCACCGAGGGCCCCAGTGGCTGCGCTGGCATGGTACCACCGCGCACGCATTGGCACACCCCTCACAAGGACAGTGGCCCCGTAGGGCGCTCCACCGAAAGCCCAAATCCCAGGGTTCGCATGGCACCACCGCGCCCATGTCGGCACACCCCTCGCACGTTTCATGGCACCACAAGGATCTTCACCGCATGCCCCAATACCAGCACAGCGCTGGCATGGCACCACCGCACCCATGTCGGGATACCCGTCACGAAGATCGTGGCCCCATAAGGATCTCCACCGAAGAACCCAATGGCTGCGTTCGCATGGCACCACCGCGCCCATGTCGGCACACTTCTCACCCCCACCGAAGGCCCAAATGCCAGCACTCGCATGGCACCACCCTCAGCCACTTCGGCACACCCCTCACAAGGATCGTGGCCGAATAGGGAGACCCACCGAGGGCCCCTGTGGCCGCGCCCATCTTCAGGGCCGCAACATCTACAGTGCCGGCGCGGCCGCGAGAAACCCTCGCAAGAAACCCAACCCTGAAAACCCGTGCGCGAGGTGCACCTGAAGGGAAACCTGGAGCACCCTGAACGCAGCGGCTCCTTCAACGGCTGCGGGAAGTCGCCGCGCAGCGCGAGGAGCGAAGAAACCCAGGATACCCTGGCAAAAAGCACATGGTTTCTTGATGCGCGCCCCCACTGTACTGGTACCGCCCTGAGACAGAAATGTCCGACAAATTAACGTCTAACACGCACGTACCAACAAGTCTGCCAGGGGGCCCTGCCTCCTGGCAAGCGCCACCTCGCAAAAGGAAGTCTCCGTCTTCCTCACGGCCGCACTCGGTGGGCTCTGCCCCGCTCCCCCCCAAGGGGGCGCCCTCTCAACGACCGCAATCGAAACCAGAGGGACAGCAAGCTCAATTTCAAAACGCGCCCGAAATTTGAATCCACAACGTCAGCGTCGCGGATTCCTGCAAAAACGCGAGACCTTCCACAAACAGATGTTTGACTCAACACAAACCAAGCTGTTGACTCAACGGCAGAAGCCGTTTCAAAACAAGCGCGCTTCCAAAAACCGTGGCTCTGAGCTGCCAAGGGGCCCCGAACGGGCCCTGGCCGCGGCGGCCCCCACGGCGCCGCCCACGGATCCACTATTGTTGCTTGGATGCTTCACCACGCACCGCGCCTTGGAACAAACAACCTGCGAGGACATAGGTGGTCGCGGTACCGGCTGTGGCTCATCATCTGGCAAGTCGGCACACCCTTCCAGCGCTTCGCGGCCCCACAGGGAGCCCCAGCGAGGGCCCAGATGCCACCGCTCGCGTGGCACCGCCGTGCCCACTTCGGCACCACCTGCACAGGGACCGCGGCTGCGTGAAAAGCTCCGCCGAGGGCCCGAGGGCCAGCGCTCGCATGGCACCACTAGGGGGTCGCATGCGAACCCTACCCCTACCCCCCACGACTTCTGAGGGGGAGGGTGGGGTTCACTTCGCTCGGGAGCTCCCGAACGAAGTGAACCCCACTCTCCCCCTCAGAAGTCGTGGGGGGTAGGGGTAGGCTTCGCATGTGGCCCCGCAACCACCGCCCCCACAACGGCACACCCCTCACCAGGATCGTGGCCCCATCGGGAGCTCCACCGAAGACCCGAACGCCAGCGCTCGCATGGCACCACCGCCCCCCTTTCGGCACACCCCCCAACAAGCTTCGTGGCTCCACAGGGAGCTCCGAGCTCCGCCGAGGGCCCCTGTGGCTGCGCTGGCATGGCACCACCGCACCCATCTCGGCACACCCCTCACAAAGATCGTGGGCGCAAACAGAAGATCCACCGGAGGCCCACATGCCAGCGCTCGCATGGCACCACCGCACCCATGTCGGCACACCCTTCACACGCCTCGTGGCCCCAAAGGGAGCTCCACCAACGGTTTCACTGGCTACAATGGCATGGCACCACCGCTTCGTTGCGGCATAAGGAATCCCACCGAGGGCCCGAGTGGCTGCGCTCGAATGGCACCACCGCGCCCTTTTCGGCACACCCCTCACAAGGATCGTGGCCCCATACGGAGCTCCACCGAAGGACCACATTCAAGCGTTGGCATGGCACCACCGCACCCATTTCGGCACACCCCTCACAGTGACAGTGGCCCCATAGGGAGCTCCACCGAAGGCCCCAGTGGCTGCGCTCGCATGACACCACCGCACAAATTTCGGCACACACCATCACACGTTTCGTGGCCCCGTAGGGAGCTTCACCGAAGGCCCCAGTGGCTGCGCTCGCATAGCGCCGCCGCACCCATGTCGGCACACCTCTCACGAAGATCGTGGCCCCATAAGGAGCTCCACCGAGGGCCCCAGTGGCTTCGCTGGCATGGTACCACCGCCCCCATTTCGGCACAACCCGCACGAAGATCGTGGCCCCATGTCGAGCTCCACCGAAAGCGGCACCCACAACGCGGTAACAAAAGTTGCGTGTGGTTGAGCCCTTGGCCAGGATACATGTTTTTGCGTTTGTGGTCGCGTTCTCAAACGTGTTCAGATCACTTGGTCGCTTTTGTCTAACATTGCCATGTACGACGTCCTCGGTTCCCTCTCCTGGTGCGCAATCCTCCTGGTGCATTTCTAATATCACTGTTATTGTTCCCGGTGCTCCTCTCTTGCCCTCGCTGCTGGTTGGGGCGTCGGGCCCCCCTTCCCGATGTCCGATTGCCCCTCCTATGGCCATCGGGCCTCCTGGACTGTGCTGGGCCGGTGTTAGACCAGCTGTCCGTTTTTGGGCGCTTCTAGCCGTGAGAGGGAGAACGGCGGCAGAAGCGAAAGAGCGGGAGCGAGGACAGCAGGGAAGACAAGGAACAGCCTTCGACCAGAAAGCAAAAACGCGAACTATCCTGGCGAGGGGCCCAACCATATGCAATTGTGAGTGACGCATTTGCTGGTATCATCTTCGGTGGAGCTCCTCATGGGGCCACGAAACGTGTGAGGTGTGTGCCAACATGGGCGCGGTGGTGCCATGCGAGCGCAGCCACTGGGGCCTTCCGTGGAGCTCCCTATGAGGCCACTGTCACTGTGAGGGGTGTGCCGAAATGGGTGCGGTGGTGCCATGCCAGCGCAGCCACTGGGGTCTTCGGTGGAGCTCCTTGTGGGGCCACGAAACGTGTAATGGGTGTGCCGAAATGTGTGCGGTGGTGACATACGAGCGCAGCCTCTGGGGCCTTCGGTAGAGCTCCCTAGAGGCCACGAAACGTGTGAGGGGTGTGCCGGAATGAACGCAGCCACTGGGGCCTTCGGTGGAGCTCCCTATGGGGCCACGAAACGTGTGAGGTGTGTGCCAACATGGGCGCGGTGGTGCCATGCGAGGGCAGCCTCTGGGGCCTTCGGTGGAGCTCCCTATGGGGCCAGTGTCACTGTGAGGGGTGTGCCGAAATGGGTGCGGTGGTGCCATGCGGGCGCAGCCACCGGGGCCTTCGGTGGAGCTCCCTATGGGGCCACGATCTTCGTGAGGGGTGTGCCAATATGGGCGCGGTGGTGCCATTCGAGCGCAGCCACTGGGGCCTTCGGTGGAGCTCCCTATGGGGCCACGAAACGTGTGAGGGGTGTGCCGAAACAAAGACATGCGGAGGGCATAGGCGAGGAGGGGAAGGAGAACGGAGGGGGAGGAGGATGGGAAGTGAACGCGGGGACCGTCTCTTCAAAACGAGGACCCAACACCACATGATGGTTGGGAAAAACGATAATCCACAGCGGCAGGCCTACAATCGCTGGAAAAAACTAGCTAAAACATCATCGCGTTGTTTGGTGTGCTTTTAGCTTGTCAAGAACCCAAACTACAAAACGGTAAAGAAACGCCCAGGGCGTGTTTAAGAAGAACCAAGCGGTTGGCCGCGGCTGCGAGGACAAGGAGCCCACGGCCGTAGGTGAAGACATGGCTGCCCACGGTGATCGCAGCATCATTCTGGTTTTCGTACGTGGGTGGTCGAGGCGCTGCTGGGCACAGTGACGGCACTGACAGACGGCTCACGGAAGCCAATTGGCGCAGTCGTGCTGGGAGTTGCGACCCAGCTCGGAAACGGGACGGGCGATGGATCGTTGATCCGATGAGGCTCGACTTCTACCTCCACCGGCTTCCGCTGGCCCTCCCTCGGCTTTCAACGGCTTCGGGCAGCATCGTGCCGCTCCCGCCGGTTTCCGTGGGCCCCCCGCCGAGGAAGGCATGCCATCTTCTCCACCGACGCCGTGATGTAGTCGTTACGACTCTGGAGGTAGGAAAGGGATATGGTCTAAAGGGGTGTGGTGCGAATTGCATGTGAGAGGGAATACGGCGCCGTCATTTACCGCAGATAGCGCCGCCATTTCCACGATTGGCGCCCCTTTCCGACCTCCAGAACGACGACCCCCAGAGGTTTTTCTTCTTCTCCTTCTTCCTCCTCCTCCTCCTCCTCCTCCTCCTCCTCCTCCTCCTCCTCCTCCTCCTCCCTCCTCCTCTCCTCCTCCTCCTCCTCCTCCTCCTCCTCGTCCTCCTCCTCTCCTCCTCCTCGTCCTCCTCCTCCTCCTCCTCCTCCGCCTCCTCCTCCCCCCCCTCCCCCTCCCCCTCCTCCTTCTCCTGAGCCGTTCGTGATAGTCCCGGAGCCGGGCGCGGACCCCCAAAGAAAAACCAAACATGGAAACAGCCAAAACTTGCGTCACGAGCTCGTCATGGCCCGAGGGGGTCCGGATACCACGACGACGAGGCCCTCTCTGGAATGCCTCACCTGTCATCCACACCGGGGCGGCCGCAGCTTCGGCAGCCCCTGGCCTTCGTACAGCGGACGAAGGCGATCCACGGTCCTCGGGGGGGGGGAGAGAGTCGCCTCCTCTCCCTCCTCCTCCTCCTCCTCCTCCTCCTCCTCCTCCTCCTCCTCCTCCTCCTCCTCCTCCTCCTCCTCCTCCTCTTCCTTCTCCTCCCTCTCCTCCTGATGTTTCCCGCCATCCTCCCCCAGGTGCTCCCCGAAGCTTGGCCCGATAGCTTGGCAGAGTTCTTGCCACAACTCTCGGCCACATGGGCAATTCCAAAAGGCAGGGGGCGGCGGTGATTCGCCGTAGGCGTCTTCGATAAGCAACAAAAGTACCCTAAATCGTCAGGGGACCTAAGCTAGGTGAACCAAAAACATAGGGGATAAGGGATCACTGTTTGCAAATATTTCAGACGAGAACACCCATGTGTTCTGGGATACCCCTTCAAACCGTCGGCCTGAGTTTGGTCACGAATCCATTGTGCTACTAGGGTTTGGGGCTGCATTATGCCCGAAGGCCTCTCGCTCCATATTCGAGTGCCGCATCAGAAGCAACTCCAGCGGAATGCCGCTCCCACGACAAACGGCCCCGCCCAGTTCCCGGGGCGTGCTGCTGCCAGCCCTGCCCCTGCCGCCCTCCTCTCGCCCCGCCTCGCGTCCGCCACGTTGCCGCTGGACGGTTTCCCCCGGGGCCGTAGGCGACCAGAGGAGGGGAGGGCGAGGAGGGGGAGGAGGAGGAGGAGGAGGAGGAGGAGGAGGAGGAGGAGGAGGAGGAGGAGGAGGAGGAGGAAGAAGAGGAGGAGGAGGACGAGGAGGACGAGGAGGAGGGGGAGGAGGAGAGAGGAGGGCGGGTCGCCTAAAACCTGCGGAAAAACCCTCCAGCTCCCGCCTTTCGCCCTGTGCTCCCCAACCCTTCGCCGCCTCTGCCGTTCGGCACCCCCTTCTTTTTCGTCATCCCTCTCCGCTGTCCCCCCCTCCCTCAAAAACGTTTCCTTTCCTCTCTTTCCCCCACCTCCCCATACTGAGGTCGATGCCCCCCATACATGCGATGTTTGACGAAAAAATAGCCCAAAGCACGCTCAAACATAATCAAAATAAACGAAAACCGTCACCATACTATTTTCCCTATGTTCGAATATCCCTCCTGTAAAGGGACACGCCCGAATTAACCCTATACTCCCCCCTTTTCCGTTCTTTGTGTTGGCGCTTGCCGCTGGAGCGCTCGCTCGGGGAGTCACCTCCTGCAAACCATGGGGAAGGAATTGCACGGGAACGAATCAAGTATGCTGGGCGACGTCATCTTAACAGCAGTACCTGGCGAACGCGCTATTGATGAACACTTGAACCAAGCGGCGTCGGAAACGACAGCGGCTCGACGTTCACATATAGTTCAGCCCCCACCCAGTCGCAACCACATGTTCCAACACCAACCGTTCCACTCTGCCGGCATGGCCAGTAAAAACGACGGCGGGGAAGACATTGACCAGCAAACTGGATGAGAGCCAATTACAGATGTTTAATCACGCAGCGGCCGAGTCTCCAAACCAGGAGGTCATAATGGTGCGAAGTCGAAACTATTCGTACCTGCGCTGGCAGCAAAAAAAAAAAAACGTTTACAGCTTGGGCGTAAGCGTGCAGAGGTCCCAACCACGCGATACATGCTTCTAAAGTGTCACAGTTACGCAGAAGGAATAGCATCATCAATCATAAAAGTGGCCAACAGACGAAGGAAAAACGAATAAGGAAAACCACCTAGCGCTGGTAACGACAACTGACAGACCTGACAAGCGCGGCCGCGCCACCCCGAGCACGGACATGCTCGGGGCGTTGTCATGGCGGAAAACACGACAACGATTGATCTCGTCAGCTGGTTCGCTTGTGACATCTGAAAAGAGGACTGCGTCATGCTCACCCCGGTTCCCCCAGCAACCGCAATCGTTGTCCCTCATCGCCTTGATGTTCCTATCCACCACGTTGCCGAAACGCCCCCTCGCCCCCCAGAACGCGCGGTCTGGGTTGCGAAGGTGACGAGGGAAATGAAAGCAACGTTTTCCCCTCATGCTAAGAAGCCCCCTGCCCGAAGCGGATGGGCTAACCACCTGGGCACTCCGATCCAGAGCTCGAAGTCCTGAACCCGTAACCAGGCCCGCCAGCACGCAACCCCCTTCCTCAACATGCAGCGACGACGGACGCCAGCATCACTTAACGGGAACGCGCAGGGGCGACCGTCGATAGCACTGTCGGCGCGCGGCAACGCGGCCCCCTGCTCTGCGCCACACCAGCAGGCGCCCGGAGCATGGCGCGGAGTGCGCAGCTAATCTCTATTTAGCCGCTCAGGGGTGTCATACTGTTCGTTGGATACCGCTGACCCATCTGCCACTTGGAAAAGGAATCCAAGTAACTCTTCGGTCTCGAACTCCACGGTTACTGCGCCAGCGCTGATCTCGCCGCGGTCACTGTGGGACTCTTCATCGATTTCCCGAGTCGCGAGGGCCATTGGGCGACCTGCTCACAGCATGCCGAACATTGTTCAGAACACGCCAGGTAACTCATTCTCCTGCATCTCGGGGATGGCCAGGATGAACGCTGGCGTCTTGGGAACGCCATGATGCGGATCTTGGCGACCACGCCAGAACTCGGCGGGCGCGGGGTCGAGCTGCCGCCGGCTCCACGGGTCGCGGTAGTCATTGGGCAATTTTGCCTGGACGAGGCGAATAACTCGCCCCTCCAAGCAGGCACCCCCACGTGCAACCGTCGCCGCGACGGACTTCGAAGTTGGCGCAACACTTCACGCAATCGCCCCGCGGGCCAAATTTTAGGGCAGGATCGGCAAGCTCTCGCGCTGGGTCATCGCCCGCCCAGCGACCGATGCGATTCCGCCCGGATGATCTGAGCTAACCAATCGCAACGCCACGGGGCCAAGACGGAATGGGCGCCCAACTCTTCGTCGCCCTCTGGCTCAGACGGGCCCGCGCAGAGCTGCGGGCGCCGCCGCTCGACGAGGCCCCTGGCCTCGATCTCGGCCAACGCCTCAGGCGCGGGGAGGCGCGCTGGACGCCGGTGGGCGAGCGGCCCCCGCAAGCGGGGGCGGCGCTCGCCCACTCACACTCGACCCGATCGCCAAGCCCCCACTCGGCAACCCTTCACTGCCGACGACGCCCGCGTCGCTGGGCGACTCCACGGAGATCTCGTTCACGGAACGCTCGCGCTTCGCGGCCTCGCCCAAAACTCCATCTGATTTCACGGGCGGGGGGGCCTCTTTGGGCGCCGGCGCCGCCTTGAAAGGCAGCCCCGCCACCGGGTCGTCCGCCGCGGCGGCGCCCCGCCAATCCCCGCCGGCGCAGCAGCGGGCAACGCTCGAGGCGTTGGAGGAGGCAGCGTTCTAACACAAACTGGAGGGCAAATACGTGCGGGAGACTGACCACGCACGACTCGATATCTCATCAAACGCGGTGGACACCGCGGCCTTGGCGAGGCGATGAGCGGGCTCGGGCAACAGCCCCACCGCGTCTCTGACCTGGCACGATAACTCCACGATATCTGCCACGCTACCCCCAATCATGCGGCGTTTAACCTGGCGGGCCTGCTCATCTGTGGTCTCGCTGCAGCTTGACGACTCGATATGGGCATAAAATTTCAACGCGCGCTTCGAGCATACCGACCCGTCGGTCCGAGTAAGTGGCGCTGAATGGCTAACGAAGTCACATCCACATCGATCATGTCACGGCGCGCCTTTCCTCCTCCACGTACCCGGGAACAGCGGCGCCCGTGCCATCGCACACGTGGATAATCGCCTCCTGGATGCTGGCCTGGTCATCAAGACGGTTGAGGACCCGCCCGCCCCAGCGCGGCATCGCTTGGGCGCCCGTGTAACAGCGCACCACGGCCGTCAACCTGCAAGGCAATATCGGGGGTCGCTGACCGCTGACGGGCACGAATCAGCCTGTTCTTGCCCGCTTCCACTCGCCATGGACGCAGCTCGAAGAACGGGCGATGGCGATTTAGGCTCAGCGCGTCACCATTAACAGATTGGTTAGTGCGTCGGCTACGTTATCGCTGGCGCCCACCGTTAACGCTTCGGCATCACCTCTCCCGATTTTCTCCTGCACCCAAGGCTGGCAAATTTCGATGCGCCTCACTTATCCCATCCCCCATCCCGGCCACGACGCCCTCGATGACTTGATGGGTTGAAATGCTCGTCACTGGGCACAGCCTGAATGCCCCCCGCTTCCCACGATAATAAGCAATAATGATTTGCGTAGTGCTCCGAAGTCTGAAGATGCGTTCGCCCCGCATAACAACTCCCCCACTGCTCGATTCACTGCTTTTTTTCACACCCATCATAGTCCGCGCCGGAATGGGCCACAACTTACCAAGGCATCGCTTGAAATTTGCATGGGTAACTAAATTTCTCTGGCGTTTGAAATACATGCTCTTGTTTCACCAACTTTTCCTAGTTCCATTATTTGGCTCAGCCACGCACTGGGCCAACTTTTTTCGCTGCATGCTGCATGTGGGATCTGCCATGGGCCAAGTAGTTAGCGCGGGCAACGCGCGCCCGATATGCGCGCGCCCCGCTGCGATAACTCCCCAACAGATTCTTCATCATGACGCAACGTCTCTCCCGGCACGCAAGACTTGGCCTCGTTGTCTAAATCAACTCCTCTGTCCCCATGCCTTTGGACAGCTTAGCACCACAAACCAGCATGGTTAATTCAACCACGCTGGTCCAGACACGCGCGGATTGATCTTCTTCGCGCCGCCCCCGCGCAAGAACTAACTTCGCCCTCGAACTACTCCAAATCACGGTCGCAAACCCGACGTGTCAAGTCACCACCACGCACCGTTAACTACATGTTCCATTACTGGTTCCTGAATACACGCGGCGACGCCCACCCGCCGTCGAATCCCAGGTCGGCGAACTCCACGCAACAATCCCCCCAATTGCTCGCGGCGCCCCGGGGTCCGCACAAGGACTTCTGCAACCTCCCACGCATCTCAGGCTCGCTATCGTCGCCCGCGCATCTGCCGAAGGTTGGTTTGCTTCTGCGCAGC